CAAAATTTAATGGTGTATAGAAAATGAAAATATAAACATTCAGTAAAATTTTAATGTATCTACAGTTATTTGTTTTTGAATAACAATAAAATAACAAAACCGCTAAATGACAAATCGAGTGAATATTGCAAAAATATGAACTTCAAACTGTCATAAAAATTTAATTTGATTTGCTTGTAGACATTTTTTTTTTTTTGATAAAGGTAGACAACGTATGAATAATCTAGTATTACATTTTCAAATTTTTATGAATTCTCAACTCAAAATTTTGCTAATTTTCATGATTTTTCCGTATTTTGTCAAGATTTGAACTTTAAATGCTTATAAAAAAAAACTGTGACTAAGGATTTGTAATATTTTTCAAATTTCATTGTAACAATATAGTAGGAGCCTTGTATTAAATTTTCAAACTTTTTACCCAACAAATAAAGTTTTAATGACATTCATAGAAGAAAAGACAAAAAACATTGGAAACAGAAAATGTTCCAAAACAGTTCAAAATAAATCAAAATATTTTGAAAATTTTATCGTGTATAGAAAATAATGCAAATATAAACTACCAGTGAAAATTTCATGTATATTCGTTCATTTGTTTTAGAGTTACACCAAAAACCAAAATCGAATTTGTGGAAACCGATTTTGCGTACAAATTCCCGTTTTTCAATTCGAAAATATTTTTTTGCAATAATTTAAAAAAAACTTTATAAAACAAAAATTTCTTATAGCAATAAATAACTCAAAAAGAATCAAAATATTTTATCATATATGGAAAGTGGTCCAATTTCTATTATCCTATTTTGATATTAATATGTCTGTATGACTGGATGTACCTATACTACTATAAGTGTTGTAAAGTATTTGAGTAAAAGTATTCAAGTACCATTATAATATATACTTTATATTCCTTATTGAATTATTTTTTTCAAATTCTTTTTATTTTGAAGCATTTCAATGGTTTTTAAATACGGTTTTTAAATTCTGAGCAGGTCGATGCATGTATTGATTTTACATTTTTACAATGATGTGTGTTTTTGTTTATATTTTTTATTTTATTTTTTTTTGTTTCTGTCGTCCCCTTTTAGTGTATATTCGCTTTGATTTTCTTGAACAGTATCTTTTCTTACAGAAAAGTGAATATAGTTGGTACTTTGGGGGGTAAATGGTAATAAGTAAACATTTTCAAAAGCGCCGTGTAAAATAAAATAAAAATAAAGGAAAAACAGGAATTTTTACGCAAAATCGATTTTTGGCAATGCGATTTTGGTTGTTGGTGTAACTCTAAAACAAATGCCCGCAGATACATGACATTTTGACTGTTTATATTAGCATTTTCTAGACACCATATCATTTTCAACCAGTTATGTGGGAAACTGCACGTCTTTCCTTCACTTCCCCCCGACGCTTTTGAAAACCTATATACTTCGCTATGCTTTGCATTATAATTTATAATATTACACCATAATGTACGGTTTATACTTATCAACTGTTGATTTTGTCTAACTACTGTCATTACATATTTATACATAATGTTATGTCTCTATTCTTATTAATCGATCGATTTTTAGTACTAATCTTAATCATTGGAACACGTCCGTTTGAAATTAAAAATACGGATACATTTAAGACGCCACATCGATGAGGCTGCAGGCGATAATATTTCAGAAAACTGATCTGAATTCGCTAGAATGTCCATTTGAGATAGGTCAGTCCACATTTTAAGATTTCTGCTTTAAATTCCGAATAATTCCCGAATAATCAACGTTTGAAAATTCCGAAATTTGAACATTTTCAAGCTAAATTTTTAGTGGTTTGGGGAGTGAAATTGTAAAAACTGGATTGACCAATCTCAAGTAGACATAATAACGAATTCAAATCTGTTTTTAAAAGTATTATCGCATTACTAGATCGATCAGTATGATGGAATAAAAATTGGATGTTTGAGCTAAAATACCTGTTTAATATATTATATATTATAAATTATATTATTTCGTCAGAAAGTTTTTTCCCGGCTAGCCCCGCATCGTGCCATCAAAAACTTAATTTCAATAATATTGTTGGTAAGGTTGATTAACCTGATCTGGTTAAAACGTACGAACTAAATCTAAAAACAAGTGGTCGGGAGTACTATTGATTCATGGTCTAATCGTAACTTTTCTTCAGTTTCGGTGGCGGTGGCTCGGTGGCTGTTGCGACAACGCGCGGCAGCAGTACTCTACAGCAGAAGCAGCTATTCGCTCAACGGCAACCACGATCATAGCATACGTTCCTGTCATATTCAGTGCTCGAATTGGGAATTATTAAGTAGAGGAGCTCAATCCAATAATTTATAAACTGCGTTCCAAGAACAAAATTACTCAACGCAGACTCGTAGGGTGGGCTGAGCCCCCCACACCCCCTTCACCAATTCCTAATTTTTCACTACTACATTTCACCTTAGTTACAGAATTTTAACTTTATTCTATTTCAAATTTAAAAATTAAATGACACTATTAACATTTAACAAAATATTTGAACCTATTTTGTGTATGATAATATATCATTTACAATGTCATTGTTGTAGGTATTTATTCAGCTTCATAGGCTTTTCTTGCTTAGGCTTCCTTTCTGCAGAAAACACCTTCATACCATTGCCCTTATTACTATTACTTTTTCAAAAAAATATTAATCAAGTTAAACTGTCAACTATAGTAAGCAAGACGTAAATTTCGTACAAATTATCGTACAAACAAAAATATTGTGTTGAATGGGAATCAGTAGCCTCATTTAAAGGATGGCTTTCATCAAGCAAAAAAGGTAAGATTTAAATAATATACTGGGTGATTCTTTTATCAAACAACACTCATTATTTCAAAAAGTGTAAATTTTTTTGAAAATATTTTTTTACATAGTTTCAAGTCGCTTATAAAACAACGCTTTTATTAAAAAATTATATTTTTAAATATTTTTTATCCTTATAGTTTTTTAAGTTTTTTACTTTTTTGAATAACAATATAGGGTTTTAATTTTATATTCCAAAGCAGAATATTTTTCTTAGTATTAGACGAGCGGAGTGGAGTGGTTCGGGGTTACCCCGCGAAATGTTTGTCCACTTGTATTCTACTTTAGAATATAAATTAAAACCCTATGTTGTCATTCAAAAAAGTAAAAAACTTAAAAAATTATAAAGATAAAAAGTAATTAAAAAAATAATTTTTTAATAAAAACGTTGTTTTATAAGCGACTTGAAACTATGTAAAAAAATATCTTCAAAAAAATTTACACTTTGAAATAATGAGTGTTGTTTGATAAAAGAATCACCCAGTATATATTTAATATTAATATAATATACCTAGTGATATTATTATTATTAATTTTAGGGAATACGTTTTTTTATTGCAAGGCATGCTTAGTAGATGGAGTAGCTGGGAAATCAGAAGTTGAAAAGCATGCCAATGGAAAAAAGCATAAGAAAAATGTATTAAACGCTAAAAACCAGAATATTTATCAAATATTCACAGAAAACAACAAATTGGATAATGAAGTATGTTTGACATTGTATTTTATATTTTATATAATCTATTCAAAATAAGAATACATTACCTCGAACACATTTTATTCCTAATAGAGTATAGTTTATTATAATATTACCTGTGGTTGCGTGCAACTGGAAATCTGGGGTCTAACATAAACAGGTCCCTCTACCCAAAAATGTAAATGGTCTTAAACAATTTAAGGTACAACTCTTCCTCCCTAGTCCCTAACCACAATATATACATAACATTTGAATATTAATAATAATTACATTATTTTATAAACTGTGAGAACAAAGGAGATTATAAAATATTTTGGATTAATAGGATGATTATTCATTTATAACCTATACATTATAATATACTTATTTTATTATTATAGGTCAAGTATGCTGAACTATAATTGGCATTATTTATAAGTGAACACAATTTACCGTACTCAATAATAAACCACCTACCCAAGCTCATAAAAAAAATTTGTCCAGATTCAAAAATTGCACAACATTTAAAATACGGGGACAATAAATGCAAATCTATCATCACAAATGTCTTAGCGTCGGTAAGTCATGATAATCTTATGAATGAACTCATGACCCATAAATTTTCGATCATTTGGATGAAAGCACTGATAGATCGGCAATTAAGCATTTGGCTCTAGTTATCCGCATAGTCCAAGCACCACTCAATATAATTGATAGATTTGTAACTTTAATTGAAGTAAATAGTGCTACATCACAAGCATTGTATGATCATGTTGTACAGTATTTTGAGAATAATAATATACCGTACAAAAAAACATGATTGGCTATGCAAGTGTCGGGGCAAATAATATGATGGGCTCTCATAATTCTTTAGCCACAAAACTTCGCAACGACATTCCAAATATTTTTGTATTCAAGTGTATCTGCCATTCATTCCACTTATGTGCGTCCTATTCTTGCATGAAGTTGCCAAAATATGTGGAAGATGTAGCACGAGATGTATACAATTATATAAGCAACAACCCCAAACGTTTGTGTGAATATAAAGAATTTCAACAATTTTTAAATATTAAACCACACAAACTTCTACATCCAGCACAGACTAGATGGCTTTCATTGCACTCGGTTGTAAAGCGAATCCTTTCTCAATACCAAGCTTTAAAGTTATACTTTACATCTGCGGCATTAAATGATGGGTTAGATAATGCAAAAATTATTCTGGATAGATTAGGTATCCAATCCTTTAACCTTTCTATATTTTGAATTTCTTGATTTTGTTCTCCCGTTTTTCATCGATTTAAACATTGAAATGCAGTCAACAACCGTAAAAATACATGTTGTGTATGATAAAATTGGTTCATTATACAAAGAGATACTTAATTGTTATATGAAAAAGATTATAGGTATTTGTAACAAAGAGGTTAATGATATTCAATATAGAAACCCTGAATTCTTTTTAGAGTTAAAAGACATATGTTTAGGTGGTAAGGTTATGAGTTCAATAACCAACATGTTAACTGAAAAGAAGTTAACATATGTGATGATACAGGACTTCAAATTAAGGTGCCAATGTTTTTATGTGGAGGCAGCTAAACAGGTATATCAACGATTTCCGTTTAGATTACTTCAACCATTAAAGCACTTAAAAGTCATAAGTCCAGAAACCATTTTTGATAATGAAGTATCATCATTAGGACCCATGTATGCTAATCTCCCAATTTTGTTTGGGGACATGGACATCAATGAAGTAGATAGAGAATGGAGGAAATTACCTTTTAGTCATTTTGACTCGGCAAAGATTGATAGAAATAGTAATATTATAGATTTCTGGTCATATATTAGTAAATTAAAAAAAGGAGATGACACGCCTATGTTTCCGTTAATGGTTTGTTTAGTCAAAAATATAATGGCATTGCCCCATTCGAGTGCTTGTGTCGAAAGGATATTTTCAATGGTTAATGCTATAAAAACCAAAGAAAGGAATAGGTTACAAACCGATAATTTGTGTGGTCTATTAAAAACAAAAAGCATGCTAAAAGCGTCAAGCTCCGAATGCTATAATTACAATTTGAACAATGAATTTCTAAAAAAATTTAACCAAAACATGTATATATTTAAAAGTTTATAGTTGTTTTGTTTTTTTTTTCATTTTTAATATTCTGCATTATTATTTTATGTTATACAATGTGACTATGTTAATTGTTTACAGTTCCTTAAATAACTTGTTTAAGATTGATAAGTATTATATTGTTAAAAAAGATTATTATTTATTCTGTATAAATAATTTATTAATTATCATAAAATGTGATATTATATTATGTAGTTCCTCCAACAAAGTGTTAAATATTATATTTTTAAATGAGTTTATCCTACCTTATTTTTAATTATTAACTGTTATACGATGTAATGATGTTTATATTTAGTTCCTTAAATAATTTGTTTAAAATTGATAAGTATTATATTGTTAAAAAAGATTATTCTGTATAAATAATTTATTAATTATCATAAAATGTGATATTAATTTATGTAGTTCCTCCAACAAAGTGTTAAATATTATACTTTTTAATGAGTATTCTGCATTATTATTAATTATTAACTGTTATACAATGTTATGATAATTAACATTATATTAACTTCATTAATATAGGTATTTTACATTGTTTGATAAGTATTCTCAAGTATTCTATACAATTATGTGTAATAAAATGTTATTTTATCCAAATTCTCTTGAATAATTGTCATATTTTGTATAGGTGTAGTAAAATATTATTATAAATTATAATAATGTTGGTATACGGTGTACAATAGATCTTACTGACATGAACAATAAAATAATTTGCTTGGTACACTGTGTATGGCTTAATTTAGTAATAAAGCATTACACAATGTTACTTTCTATAAATTACTTTTAGTTAATAGCAGGTGGCACTGTTTTTTTTTTTTTTTTTTTTTTTACGAGTCGGGGTTATGACAGGTCATTTTACAGGTAATTAAATATATAGGTAAACATCCTTACATTTAAACTATAAATAACAAAACATAATATCAATTAGTCAATTAGTCAAAAAATCAACTGGTATACATAAAATAAAATAAAATAACATAATATGGAATAATGTACTTAGTAAATAATGGTAATTATATTAATGGTAACAATGGGTGGTTCTAAAAGGTAACGTATGAGTTGTGTTTTCAAATTTTTAAATTTTATCGCTCCAAAATTCTGCCAACTTTATAGCCTTGCTATTTGCGTCTTGTAAGTCTGTTACATTACATTTGATTGGACATTCATTGCAGTTTAGGAGGTGCGACATTGTCTGGACTTCTCCGCATATACAGCTCATGTCTTCATTCCCATTGCTTATTCCCCATTTTTTTAGGTTCTCCCTCGAACGACCGACTCCTGTACGTAGGTGATTTAGTGTTCTCCAGACCATCCATTTATTGTTATGTCCCGGGGGTAACTTCTCTTCAACTTTTTGCTTGCTCTCTACCTCCCATAACTTTAATCTTGATGTCTGTGGGTCATCTTCTAATTTCTTAGTGCATTTTAGAAAGCTCTGTGGCAGGTCATTACAAAAGCTATAAAACAAGAATATTTACATAAATTGTAGTAGTGAAAATTTCCAGACAAATTGCATTTTTATTTACTGTTTTTCGACATAACATTTTATAATAATTATGTGAGCTCTACAACCTCACGGAATTATCGACCAACTATATTGTCATTTTATAGTATTAGATTAATTATATTATGTATCATTCAAGATGAATTAAATTGATATCACTAATCAGTAATCAGCACCATACTCAATGCCACGATTTAAGATCGCTGCACGGACTGATATCGGAAAGATACCTATATCCACAGATATATTATAATAATAATAAATAATAATATTATATTCTGGTGTTCTGGTGGATCGCTGACACACTGCCATACTTGATACTAGAGATCCTTTATTATATTCTAGGCTCTCTACTTGTAATATAGTGATAATATGATATCATATTATATCTAATCCCATAAGGGCCATACACGGTGTTAGTAATATTATCTTGACCCAATAGCACAATAACACTATAGCAGTAGCATGGCAAAATAAATATTTATTTTGTCATGAGCAGTAGTGCCAAATTGCTAACATCATTGTACCTACTTTGTATTTATTTCTAAATTCTACTATTATTTATCATACTAATAACCAATACTACAGTTAAACATTATTTTTATTTATAAACAATTTTAGTTCTACTAAAAATGGGTTAGAGTTAGTAGAAATCTAGTTTTGATTTTTTTTTAGAGGGAAAAAATGGGGAAATTTTTAACCTGAGTTGGGGAATCTTAAAAAATTGAGTTACGAACCCTGACCGTACCTTTAGGCTTCCTTTCTGCGGAAAACACCTTCATACCATTGCCCTTATTACTATTACTTTTTCAAAAAAATATTAATCAAGTTAAACTGTCAACTATAGTAAGCAAGACGTAAATTTCATATATTATTATGTCTTACCAGAATGAATTCATTTTTGAAAAAACATTGTATTTTCGTACCAATTTTCCTAAAATGATCTGTAATTTTTCGGTAAAAGTATGAACTACTTGTATGAAAGACCTTGTAATAAATTATCAGGCTTTAGCTATACATATTTTATATTTTATAAGTTTTGAACTACAAATTAACTGTGGTTTTGAGGAAATTTTAACTTTAAATGCTTATAAAAAATAACAATGATGCCTATATGTATCGTTTATATTTTAGCTATAATAAAAAACTTACGCATTACATATTTTTTAAGATTTTTGACCTGATAAATAATTTTTTATTGACATTTATAGAAAAAAAAATGTAATTATTCAAATACAATCCAAGTGAAGACGGTATAACCAAACAATTAAATAAATTTTCATTTTTTTTCTCCAATTATTTTTAAAAGCACTGAGCATTTTCAATTTCGACCTTCTAAAAGTACCAACTAGATCCAATTTGCTTCCAAAAATATACACTGGGCATCGGCTTATGATCAGAGCCTTTTTTCTACCAGAAAAGTTGAAAAGTTACTAACATTTTAAAATACCTTAAATAAACGTCTGAAATTATTAGACTGGACAAAATAAAATGTAAATAAATTGTAACAAAATCCTGCGGACGCCACTGGGGTACAGTAAAATTTATAATATAGGTACTTAAAATTCCCAAGTTATCTATGGTTATCTATTAATTATTATATTTCATTCACCTGACCAAAAATATACCTATCATTATTATAATATTTTATTGATATATTTGATGGGTGACAAAAGCATTGCTAGTAGGTGGTTATTACTTTGCATGAGCCCTCACAGGAGCTTGTTCAGCGGAGCCCATTATTCTGTTAAACTTTAAATAAATAAATATACAAATACACTTTAATACGTAAAAAAAGAGACAATATTTTGTTTTTGAAAGTCAATTTTATTGTGTACTCAACAAATGTAATTTCACAATAATATATTTATTGTAGTTTAAGTACAATCAAAAGTTTTGTTTTTTTTTTTAATTATAAACGGCTCAAAGTGGACTATTTTTTTTGTTTTTTTACTTGATATATCTTATTATTATTATTTTTTTTTTGGTATCTTATAATTTTTTTTGTATTTTTATATGATTTTTGATGTATAATTGGCTCAAAGTGGCCTAATGGGGAAAAAAAAAAACAACAGACAAGACACAATAAGCAGGGGGGTAGTGGTGCGTGATGGCGAGGTGCATAAATCAATAAGCTGGCTACTGGTCACCTCTATACGTTTTCTCAGCACATCCCGCAGGCGAACGAGTGGAGTCGCCAGCTCGTTTGCTCGCGGGTGACGACCATCACGACGGCTGGTGAAGGCCCGACCGCGACGGCCACGGGAGCGATGAGACGATTTGACGGCGAGCGGCTAGTACGCGGTGTTGTTTTTTAGAAAGTTTTGCATAATATGTATCTCAAAAATTATATATTTTAGTTTGGTCGATTGCGGGGACACATTTTTTTTCTAAATAATAAATTAATCGGGTACCGGGTATAATGCAAGGAAAAAATGTAACTGTACACCGGGTACCGGGTGTTACATGCGGCCCTTCAGGGATCCAAAAGCTTGTTGCACTTTTACAATAAAATGTAGTCAATTTTAAATATAAATCAATTATAATTTATTAAAACCAATAATAATTAATATAGTCGAGGTGAATTGCAGCGTCGTGAGTTGACTCGTTGTAGTAGTCGATAATCTCCATGTAAGTCGTGTGTAATGGCTGGTGGCTAAACGGCTCGCTCGGTCTTGGCGGCTCTGGTACATCTGCTTTGGCTGTCTCGCTGTCCCCTATATATATGGTGGCGGCGTCCTTTGAAGTGAGCGGCGCGTGTAGTCGTCCTTGATATGGACTTCACGAGTCACGACTATGAAAGTGGTATTCTTTAGTCGAAAACACTTTTGGGTGTGGTCGCATTCCTGGTTGTTATTATGAGCAAATATATGATATTGCGTAATCCCAATTCTGGTTGTTATTATGAGCAAATACATGATATTACGTAATCCCATTACACCTCCCTACCAAAAAAAAGATTGTTAACCTTTAAGGGTTAAGAATCTTTAACATCGTTAATTAATAGTTTACAATGGCTGAATTACATTATTTACATTGACATTTAAATTTTGTATACAGTTAACAATTTGATTATAGTATTACATTTGATTACAATAATGTGAACATTTTACAATTTTTTAATGTCATCATTATTATTATATTGTTTTTCATATTACAATTTTAATTGTGGTTAGTAAAATAAATTAATACATGATTTAATTAAACAAATAGTGTTAATAAAATGATTAATAATCTTTAACAAAATAATATATGTACCTGAAATTATAACATCATAAGCGTTACGTAAGTATAAAATTCAAGTATTTCCCCTTTTATATAATAATAATATTTATCTTCCACCTATGTACTAATCAGAGTCGGACTGGCCCGGACCGCTAGTCCGCAATTGCGGACGGGGCCCTTGCTTAATTATGGTAATTGGAGGCCCCTGATTTTGTACCTATTAATATTATTATTATTCGTTTAGAGTAAACAGAAATACGAAATATACATTTTT